TCTAGAATTATTTATAGATCAAACATTGTACACGAAAATAGGTGACGCATAACTTAAATAAGATAATATTACATATTTAGCTACACCAAGGAGGCAGACGTTACGTCCTTGATATGATGAAAGCATTGCTCCGTTGATTCTTGGTCTGGCAAAATTGTCCATGGTCGATCTTGAAAGAAATTAGATTTTTTTTCTACTGTTTTGAGAATTACCACTTATTGATGAAAACAAATAAATATGGCGGGAATGGCCAAATGCTTTAGTCGCGATTATTAAGAAATCAGTCTTGATAAGAAATTTGTGATGCTGGTTAATCATAACTGAAATAGAGCTGGGTAATCGCGAGGAAGGGCAGATAACCCAGAAACAAAAATACAAAACATCAATTTTATTTTTAGACACGTAAATAAGTCGAATATTTCACAATTTTTTCGATAAACTTACGTGTCATTAACTTGTGGCTAAGTCAAGTTTGAAAATGAATGATTTGTAAGACCACAACTTAAAACATAAGGTGAGAATTTAAAATAATTAAAAGGGTTTGTTTCATTGATGTTTCGTTTTCTCAAAAAAGTTTCCGTCTTTTCAGTACCGATAGTTACCTTATACACCGAACAGTAATAGTGTTAAAATTCATGTATATCCAGAATTATCCTCGTTTGAAAGTTAAAAAGTCGGCGTGTCTTTTCTTGAGACACTGCCATAAATAGAAAAGATAGAAATAGAAAAATTTTTTTATATGAATGTCACACGAATTTGCGTATTGTAAGTCAAATGGATAATATCATCATAGCTAATGTAAATATTTATTATTATTTTGTTTTACAGAAAATGTTTTCATCGTTAATTTCTAAGATTAAAGAAATAACTCATCCTGTGCCTAGCCAACAGCCTGTAGAATACCCAGAATGCAATGATAATGATCTCAATGAAGATGGATTCCTTGTTTTAGGCGAAACTCAATCAGATAGAGAAGCTATCAATGGTGGCACATTTGACCCCAATTCAGTAGATACCCCTCCAACATATGATCAGGTATCAAATTATCAAATAAAAATCAAAATATTATCAAAATAAAGGAATGAAAAATATAATTAGTGGATTGATTGACCAGCCTACATTACAATCAAATAAAGATTATTTTATAAACAAGTATACACACCAGAACCTGGTTCCTTTTTCCTAATGCATGGCTGTCTGTATTCATATCCTCGACCAAGAGTGAGAGTTAATTCTTCATAACAGCAAATTATCAATAGATATTTTAATTATAATTGAAATTTTTTTTTAATTTCAATATTCTTTTTTCCAATTATTTGACTAAGACCTACTTGCCTACCTACTAAGGGTAAGTTAAATGTTAGACCATTTTAAAATAATGTTTTATGACTAACCCAATATCAATATTAGGCTGATTCAAACGCGTTTGACTGAGGCAGGTTAAAAGGGGGTTAGTCGAAGACATTTGACTATGGGTTAGTAGGCCTAAGTCAAATTATTGGAAAAAATAATGAAAATCAAACATAAATATCAATTATAATTAAAATATCTATTGATAATTTGCTGTTCCATTTTTTTTTTTTTAATTTCTGTATATCAAGAATTTATGTCTTGAATTTTTGTCATTTTAGGTCATGACTGCTCCAGTATTATCCAATCAGCCATCAGTATTTCCTACCTCATTGCAGACCACACTGCCCCTTGATGGAGGTCGTACACCAATCACAGCCATCTCAGATGTTCCATTCAAACTAGCACCTAGTCTTGCCATTGTTAAAGACATTCAAGAAGATTCTTCCTTCTCTTTTATTTGTGATACTAGGCCTATTAACTTTAATTGGAAGAAATACGATTATGATTTTTCTGCAGAAGAGTCTGTTTTGAGGGACTACTGTTTAAATGGTAATGACTTCAATCATTATCAGTGAAGTAAAATATTATTTACCTTGTGGACTCTAAGAAATTGAATCTAACCTGAGAAACCTAAGATTTGTCAATATCGGTGAAATCCTGGTCAGGGTTGTTAATTTGACTAGTGCTCTAATTAACCACTCATGTCTTAGTAGAGCTCTTTTGGGATGAATTTTTAAACATTGTTTAAACTATGAACTATGTGAGTGCAATATTCTGAGATATTTTGTTTTTCTGGTTCATGGACAACCTTTTCAGCACACTATGATTTTATTTATGATTTATTTTTTCACTAATAAATTTATTTATACATAAGAAAAAGGCTCATTACCAATCAAGACATGTCATTTCACCATTTAATGTTTTAAAAATTTGTAAAAAGAAAAAAATGAATAACGCCTATTAGATCAAATTTAAAAATAATGTCATAATATCATCATTACATAATTTATGATAAACAAGCATGGTCTGAAAAATTATTGCGGAAACAAGAGTAGCTTCCCTTAGACCGTAAAAGTAACAGACTTCTATGAACAAATTTTTTCCCTATTTTATGACTGTATTTACGGGAAATATTTTATCAAAATAAGCTATCTAGTTTGCATTAACCCCTAAGGAGGGTTATTGATCTGATCTATATTTAAGAGAGTTGTAATTTTTGTATAAAAAAAAAATAATGCAATAGTTGAAGTACAGCTGTAGTCTTGAACATAAATGTATTATCTGGAAAAAATCATCAAGGACAAGGGAAGGAACTCCATTTCTATGATGGCTGCCAAAGCTCAAGCCAGCCTGTGGTTCCAAAGAGAATTCAGTTTAGGCAGTAAGAAGAGGGGTTGTCATAAAGTGACAGATGAAATTGTGTCAAATTTACCAGAAATACAACAATATAAAATGGGTCTGCTGAATATTCATAGTGAGTTTTGTTGTGCTTTTTTGAAGTTGATTAGAACTTATAGAAGGTCCTACATTCTACAGAGTTATGGTCCACTATTTGTTATACCCAGACCCAGAAAACGACATGGCTTAAATTAAAACTTAACGCTTTCATTTTTCTTTTTTTTTTAATTCAGTAAAGCATACATCAGCAAGCATAGTGTTAAATGAGTGTTGGGATTCAGATGTCAGGTGAGTTTTCTAGTTTTTCAGAACCTATCAATCCACAGAGCTAAAACTCTATTGTTTTGTTTTTTGCTTTAAAATGTATGATTTAATGTTTTATTTTGTAGGGTAGATATGGAGATGATGCTGAATAAACTAGTCCCACAGGTAGGTATGGGATTCAAATTGCACTCTAGCATCAACAAAATCCCCTCCCCCTCCCGAGTATATTGAATGTGTAAACAATTGAAAACTGATTGTCATTTCAAAGAGCAGATTTGCAGCAACTGTTTAGTACAGTGGTGTAACCTATTTTCGTGGATATAAGGATTCAACACTGAATTTCGTCAAAGTTAAAACAACGAAATTTTTTTTTATGTCTTAGATGTTTCCTCAGATATTTTACAAAATAATTAAAATTGGTTTATTTCGATTTTCTTTATGAATCTTCACTTTGCCCATGTTTCATGAGCAACCAACTCTGCAATGGCGGCAGAATGCATCACCTATTTTCGTGTACAATGTTTGATCTATAAATAAGTCTAGAAAAACACGCTGTATGGATACCGGGTGGTATAATTAACTTCTCTTAGTATTTATCTTTAATATCAATTCATTATAACTAGTAACATTTCTTTCAAAGAACCACGATTTTAAAAAATAAAATAGTGACTGACAAAATAAGATATGTAGCGTGATTTATTGCTAAAAGTTATTGAAACAACATAAGAATATGGTCAACTTTGTGTTCCATAGAAATTTTCTGCTGACACGGAATCCGCTAGTTGATCACGTGACTTCATTCGTTGGACTACATTCTAGCAGACGACACTTGGAATTCCGATTACCGCTTGGGATTATAAGGAAATTCGGCCGATAAAAAATGGTGACGTTTGGTAATAACTGAAGTTATGGTAATCACCACTTTTTTATGGAATTAGAGACATTGTCAAGTATGGATACACAACCTCCTGATAAGATAGGCGTTTTGTGGCACGTTGTATAGAGATACATTGATTCTCCGATATATCATGCCCGCACTATTAACTTATATTAAGTATGCAGTGTGTACCTAGAAATCGGGTTCAGATCCAAACCTCCACCTCAAATCTTTAGTTTTGATCACTGATAAAAGTTTAAATTTGGTTTCATTTATCAATGCAGAAACATTACTGTATAGAAGTCTGTCTTTGAGTTTGACAACACTTTTCTCAAATTTATATGAGAAAGGAACTTGATTTTTCAGTACTAGCTGTCCTGATTCTATATCCAAAAATTTGGAAGCAAGGCATGATATGATAAAATTATATTTTTTAGGGCTTACCATACAAACATTCTTGTGAAGGACCAGATGACATGGTAAATACACTTTTATTCATCTGATTTTTCCCAGAATTTTTCAGGGTCATTTTCTCAAAAACTCAATTCAGATTGATTTTAGTGTTTCATTCATCCGATTGTTCAATCACTTATGTTGATTTTTTAATTTAGTTGTATTATCCTTTCATATTAATGTATTTCTTAAAATCTGGATTTTATCTTTGTTTTTTTTTTTCCAAAACAAGGACCCTAGTCATTTAGGACCTAATACCTAATGATATATATCCTTCAAGATGTTTCACTCAAAATTATTTTTCCTAATCCAGTTAATCTGGTTTATGATGGTTTTTTGTATTTTTGATATTTGGTTATTAGAGTAAAATGTATTCTTGAGCTAAAGATTTCAATATTTAATTCTAAAAAAAAACTACAGAGAAACGACTAGCTGCCTTATATTGGTAAAACTATGAAAATCAATTCAGTTTTTTAATAAAAAAAAACTGTTAAAGACCTTTATTCAATATCAATATTGGTATTTTAATCTTTTATTTTAGCCAGCACATGTGAAAGCAGCATTATTGGGGAGCAGTGTGACAATACCCATCTCAGATGGACAGTTAAATATGGGCACGTGGCAGGGAATATGGTTATGTGAACACAGAGATAGAGCTAGCAAGTTTGCCTTTTGTCATTTTTATACTCACATGAAATGGGGGGCATATATTGTCATAACCAATGTCCGTCGGTCCGTCCGTCCACAAATGCTCGTTAACACTCTACACAGCACAATTCTTGACTGATTTTGACGAAACTTGGCATGGTTGTTTGTAATCACCCAAGGATGAACCCTATTGAAAATCAGAAAAATCGAAAAATATTTATTATGAGTTATTGTCCTTCTTCTTGAAGGTGCAATTCATGAATTTTGACGAAACTTGGTGAGAGTGTTTGTTGTCACCCAATGATGAACCCTATTCAAAATCAGAATGATCTAAATATAATTAGTATGAGTTATTGCCCCTGTTCGTGAAAACGCATTCAATTATACCTTGTAAACACTCTAGAAGGCACAATTCTTGACAGATTTTGATGAAACTTGGTGTAAGTGTTTGTAATCACCCAAGGATAAACCCTATCGAAAATCAGAAAAATTGAAAAATATTTAGTATGAGTTATTGCCCTTGTTCTTGAAAACATGTTCAATTTTTAGTCTGTAAACAGTCTAGAAGGCCCAATTCTTGACAGATTTTGATGATATTATTTAGTATCGCCTCAAAAAGTTCAAAAGAAGTGTTTGTCTGAAGGTTGAATATTTCAAACTGGTAATTGTTACTGTAGTTCCAAATATTTTTATACGGCCATCAGTCCGTCCACATTTGTTGTATGCACGATAGAGGCTACAGTTTTTATCTGATATTGATTTGCATGTATATATTGATAAGATCTCGGTCAAGTTCAAAATTGGTAATAATCAGATGAACAGTTTCAGAGTTATTGCCCTTGACTTAATAAAAAGGTGTTAAATTTGACTTTTATGCACGATAGACGCTGCATTTTTTTATCTGATATTGATGAAACTTAGTATACATGTATATATTGATTAGATCTCGGTCAAGTTGGAAATTGGTAATAATCGGATGAACGGTTTCAGAGTTATTGCCCTTGACTTAGTAAAAACGTGTTAAATTTGGCTTGTATGCACGGTAAAGGCTGCAATTTTTATCTGATTTTGATGAAACTAAGTATGCATGTATATATTGATGAGATCTTGGTCACGTTCCAAATTGGAAATAATCGGATGAACAGTTTCAGAGTTATTGCCCTTGACTTAGTAAAAACGCGTTAAATTTGGTTTGTATGCACGATAAAGGCTGCAATTTTTATCCGATCTTGATGAAACTTAGTATGCCCTTATATGTTGATAAGCTCTCGGTCAAGTTGGAAATGGGTAATTATCAGGTGAACGGTTTTGGAGTTATTGCCCTTGAATTAATTCAATGCGTCCAATATAGCTTGTAGGCCTGATAGAGACTACATTTTTTATACGATCTTTATGAAATTTGGTATGAGATCTTAGTAAAGCTTGAAATTAGTAAAAATCGGATGATTGGTTTCACATATTAAACCACTACAGACTTTGTTACTTTGTTATCATTCT